CCCAGGAAGGAAAGAGGGGGCGGAAGGGGAAGGGCAGCAAAGTGTCACGAGAAGAGCGATGCACTGAGAGTGATCGATGGAGAGACGGTAGACGACGATGAGCGATGAAAGAAGATGGTCGGCGAACATGACTCGCGAGAATATCCTTATGATGTAACTTGGTTACTACTAGTAGTAACGTTTTTCGCCTTTTGTTGATTTCGCCGATGGCAAACTCCGCAAGACTTATAAGATAGGGATCGTTGCTAGCGTCATCGATAGGTGAAGTGACTTCCTCCAACGATCGCACCTCCACACGCGCCGAGATGCAGAAGAGGATCGCTGCAGCCGCTGCGAGGACGACGAAAATGGATGAATTGCAGCGCGCCAGCGAGATGGGCGATTCGATCGAGAGCGGACTGAAAGGCAAAATCAGCATTGGCATAATTTTTCCAGGCAGTGAGAGAGAGTAAGGGCGATTGCCGCGTAGCTACATGAAGGAGAGAATCACCATGAGAATGTAGAATGGGTTGTTTTTGTGGCCCCAAACGCCGAGCTCTAATGCTCGTCTGAAGTGCGAGGAGGGTGTGAAATTTGGGGGGGGGGGGAGAGGGGGGAATGTGAACGCGCAGGGGGAGGGGGCCAAAGATGAACGACGAAGGGCGCTTCACCTTGCGGAAATGCATAGGAACGCGAGGAACAAAGTTGTTACCACTCCGTACCACGACAAAGCGGGAATCGGGCTTCCGCACCGCGATCGATGGATTGAATCTAATACTATGAAAGTGTGAAGAGGTTGTCTGTCCAAAGCGCGCCACCGAGCCCGGGGAGAAAAGGTGGAAAATAGGCGAACTTTGACGTCTAGCTAGGCGAAAACATTTGGGGGCTTCAAACACGCGACGAAACTCGGAGGCAACGAACAAAACCAATACCAAGGATACAAAAATTGCGCGAGATCAGCCCTTTGTTACGCGCGCCAGGAAAAAGAAATAATAGGGAGTTGGCAAAACATGAGCACTCAACAAAGCACGAACTCCACAGTGTTGAACGAAGGAGGCTAGGAAGCCATGAAATGGCACGAGGGTTTAGCTAGGAGGAAGTTACGAGAGAAAAGAGGGAGAGAATAGAAGAGAGGGATACAAGGAGAGGGGTTGTACCCTCTACAGTAGGTTTCAGTAACACCTACCAAGCCTACCAATTATATATCAAAGATATAATTGAACACACCCCCTAGGCTTGGTAGCCGAAGAACCCACACACACCCATACCCCCTAACCTAGCACCCCCATCCCCAGCAACAGCCACGACCACTCCGGCATGGCCAACCCCACAGCCCGTGAGATGGCGACGGCAGCAGCTGCGGCAGTGACGACAGCGGCGACGGCGGCGGCGTGCGGCGGCAACAGGCCAACGGCGACAGCGGCGGCGGCGGTGGCTTTGACGACAGTGGCGACGGCAGCGGCGCCCGCCCTCTCGGCGGCGTGGCAAAGCTCCGCGACGATGGGGAAGACCCTCACGAGTCAGGTGTCGGCTGTGGCGAGGAGGAGGGGACGCAGGGGAAGGGAGGGGGGGGCGTGGCGTGGTCCAGCATCACGCCCGTGGCTGGTGTGCGGGCGGCAGATCTAGTGGCGCCACAGGCATTGCGCGGCCGGCTGCAGCCCGACGCCGCCGCCACGGAATCATCATGATGCCACCACAGCGCGGTGTCGATGCCGCGGCGGCTCGTCGGAGCTGCGACGGCAGCACAACGAAGCTGCCGTGGCAGCTCGGAAAGGCCGCCACGGTGGCACAAAAACGGCGACGAAAAAGAAACGAGCACGCGGCGGAAGCGTGGGGAGCACGCCCGGGAGGGGTAATCTGCTCTGTTACAATGTCAAAGTTAACGAATGACTAGAACAATAACATACAAGGGAATATAACCTAGTGGGTTGTACTCCCTAAAGCACAACCCTATATAGTCTATAACAACATACAAAGATATGTTTGTCACACCCCTTAGACTGGATAGGGGTAATGCCTTGTAGGAGACCAGCAGCTCAGGGTGGCATTACTAGTCCAGCCTCTCAGGCAAGGGTCTAAAGACCAGTCAAACGAGTACAAACAAGGCAAGAGAAAGACGAGGGCGGCACTACCAGTCCAGCCACTGGGAAGAGGCCACAAGGCCAGTCAGGGTAATATATGTAAAGGTCTGTACACAATCAAGGTCGTAGCATGTGAGAGGCTACAGGAACGAGACCTACCTGTACACATTGCCGCTGATGATCTTTAGACGCAAGCGCCTTCGTAAAGATATCAGGTGTGTTGGCACCGGAGGCCAAGTGAACTTCGCGGGCCTGGCGACGCTGCTGTAGCTCGTGCAGGAGGAAGTACCGCAGCTGGATGTGCTTCGCTCTACCCTCAAGTCGAGGCTCCTGACACAGGAGGATCATGGCCCTGTTGTCAGCGTACAGAATCGGGGTAGAGCTAGGCTGCTCACCTAGGTCAGTAAGCAAGAAGGTCAGCCAGCGGAGCTCCTGTGCCGCCATGGCACCAGCGTAAATCTCAGCCTCACAGCTAGACTGGGCAACAGACGAGGAGCGAGTGGACCTCCACGAGATGGCACCTGCACCAAGGCTAAAGCAGTAGCCCTAGGAGGACTTGAGAGTCTCGGCATCGTCTGCCCAAGAAGCGTCTGTGTGCCCTATAAGGACCACTGGTCTACGTCCTCCTAGCACTAGCCCCATGCCCGATGTGCTTGCTAGATAACACAAAACCCTCTTAGCTGCCGACCAATGCTGTGGTTAGTGTCTGCCAGTGGCCACGAAGCGAGCCAGGATGCTGAGAGGGTATGCAAGATCTGGACGAGTGCAAGTCATCAGGTACATGAGGCAACCCACTAGCTCTGCGTAGGGACCATTAGGCTCTACAGCCTCCTCTGGGACTGGACCAGAGAGTCTGTGGTCTACTAGCAGAGGTGTGGGCTGTGTGGAAGAGAACTGAAGGCCGAACCTCTAAAGGACCTGGCGCACCAAGTGTGACTGTGAAAAAGTGATGGGGCGCGCTGCTCTGTCCTTGGCGATCTGCAAGCCAAGGTAGCGGCGCAGCTCTCCTAGGTCAGTGCAGGTGTGTCTCTTCAGCAGCTCAGCCTTCACGGAGGCCAGCGCGTCTCTATCTGCAGTAGCAAAGACCAGATCGTCTACGTAGACAAGGATGTAGAACGGGTTCTGGCCGGAACGGACAAAGAGCGAGGGGTCTGCAGATGAAAGGAAGAACTCCACGTCAGCAAGCGTAGTACGTAGCATGTCGTGCCACTCACAGGGCGCCTGTCACAAGCCGTAGACGGGGCGCCGGAGGAGCCACTTGGTACCAAGGGGAAAGGTACCGGAGAAGCCACGGGGGCGACACAGGTAGACCTTCTCGTGTAGACCGCCCTGGAAGAAAGCTGTGGAGAAGTCGAAGGAGTGCAACTCATTGTCACACTGTGCTGCTACGTGTAGTAGTGCCCAAAGAGTAGTCATCTTCGGGGTCGGGGCGAAGGTTTGAAAGAAGTCCACCCCCTCACGCTGACTGAATCCTCGAGCAACGTAGCGCGCCTTGAACACATGCGGCTCTCCATGAGGGCGCTTCACCTTAAAGAGCCATCGGCCATCGATTACGTTCACCCCAGGTGAGGGAACTGCGTCGACGAAGGTACCGGTGGATCTCCAAGATGTCATCTCCTGCTCCATGGCAGCTATCCACTGAGAGGCCCAGGGTCCCCTGACATCCCGACCCCTCGCACCTACGCTGAGGCCACCTCGGGATCCTGGCTCTCCCAGTGGATGGCTCTGATACCATGTTGAACGAAGAACGCTACGGCCGGTCTACGGCCCAGTGTTTCCTCCCCCGGACTCCTCTCTAGCTCATTTCCCTCCCCGTTCTCCTCCTGTGTCTCCTCCCCTCTCTCCTGACCCGACTCCTCCGTCTCACGTCTGGTCTCGTCGTCCGTCTCGTGCTCATCCTACCTCCCATTTTCACCGGTCTCACCCTATGTTGCTTCGCTCCTGCGCGTCTCGTGCTTCTCCACTCCTCATGTCTCCTCCTCCGTCGTCGCTTGTTGTGGCCCCGCCCCCGTTCTCTAACTTCCTCAGTGCAGCGCGTCTCCTTGTTCCTCGTGTCCTGGCCTCTCAGTCCGTTCCTGTCTCGAGTCTGTCGGCTCTTGTCGCTGCTGTCACTGACTTCGCCGCTACCCGCCGCCTTGACTACACTACCGCTCTGGTCTCCGACCCCACCTGCCCTGCGCCCGTCGGTGGTGTGGCTGCCCTTTGCAGTGACGTCATAGAGGACAAACAGTACGAGCTCGTTTTCCTTTCTGAGGCCGCTCCCCATCTCTGTTCCATGTTACTAGTTCCTGAGGGTGACCCAGACGCCCTTGACATTCTGACCCCTCGCACCTACGCAGAGGCCACCTCGGGACCCTGGGCCTCTCAGTGGATAGCTCTGATACCATGTTGAACGAGGGAGACTAAGATAAGAAGCCATGAAATGGCACGAGGGTTTAGCTAGGAGGAAGTTACGAGAGAAAAGAGGGAGAGAATAGAAGAGAAAGGGATACAAGGAGGGGGGTTGTACCCTTTACAGTAGGTTTCAGTAACACCTACCAAGCCTACCAATTATATATCAAATATATAATTTAGCACACAGAACTGGAATGAAACAACATGATACTCAACACAACCGGAATGATTTTTTTTACGGGCATACAGGTACCGCATGCGAAGCAGCAGTAGTGTTGAATTATTTCCCACGTTGACCCTTCGGCGAAGAATTTCGCATCATTGGTTTGGGTGGGAGCGAAGGCAATTTCAATCGCCGCCCAATCATGAGGAGCTATTTGAGCTGACACGACGCGTGCAGGTGCTTGCTACGAGTCCTGCGAGGAACATTGTGAGGAGAAACCCCCTCTGATTCGTCAGAAAAACTTATTGGTAAAACCTGTGCGACAGTGTGACGCGTCATGAATATAACTGAACACCTCCAACACAGTAACGGGGATTAGAGTGGCCTTGTTTTAGCAAAATGAATTTAACAAACGTCATTAGGTGGTCAATAGTACAAGTTACGTCAAGATAGCATAACCATGATGATATAGCTTCATGCCGCAAATGTCGAAACAGCTGTCACTAAACACTGAGCTAAAAATCTGTGTAGTGGGTGAGCGTAGCCAGAAAGCCCAAGGCCTCCATGCTTCCCCACCATGCTTGCCCTTCCCTGGGACCATTGCCGATTCCAGTCCAGCACTCCTCTGAAACACTTTGCATCATCTGAAGCATTCCAGGTTGACGGGTAACAACCAGATCTCTTAACAAAGCGGACCAAAATGCCAGCTTTGAACCCACATGGGTTATATTAGAGAACCTTTGAATAAGATGCCATTTGGTAATGTCAAATATTGTTGAAGGTGCGGTGAGGTGAGATGGTGGAGGCATCAGCCCAGCATCTTTGCGCGAGCAAAGAGAACACCGGCAAAACACCCTGTGGAGGGAGGGAGGAGGAGACGCAATGTAAACAGGAACTGAGGACGGCAGCGTGGTTGTGGATGCAAGGATATGCGGTGGTGCGAGAATAGGGGGTGGCGAACCAATAGGAGGTGGTGCAAGGATGAAGACAGAGCAGGGTGTTGATCGGACTGAAGCGCGGCGAGCAGCAGAAAAGGCAAGGACAGGAATATGATGTCACGAGGGGGAGTGGGATGCAATGGGATGAGAGGGAGTGAGATGCAGGCAGAGGGGTGCAACATTCCAAGGGAATAGAGGAGAGGGGAGCACTGAGCAAGGAGGAAGGGAGGGGGGCACGGACTGAAGAGGAAGGGAGGGGGGCACGGACTGAAGAGGAAGGGAGGGGGGCACGGACTGAAGAGGAAGGGAGGGGGGCACGGACTGAAGAGGAAGGGAGGGGGGCACGGACTGAAGAGGAAGGGAGGGGGGCACGGACCGAAGAGGATGGAAGAGATGTTGGCGGCGTTGGTGGGGGCGTTGAAGAGAATGATGCCGAAGAGGGAGAGAGGGATCTTGTTGAGCGACCCCACCAGACTGGGAGGGGAGAGAGGGAGGGGGTGGGAGAGAGAGGGGGGCGGTGGGGGAGAGAGGTGGGCGGTGGGGGAGAGAGGTGGGCGATGGGGGAGAGGGGGGCGGAGGGGGGTTGGCTGGTTGAGACGTGTGTACATACAACCCCCCATGCGTACAGCCCCCCATGCGTACTACCCCCCATCTTAGTTGCTACAAACGCGTTTGGTGTTTGAACGCTAGCGTTTGAACGCTAAACGCTCGGCAGTGTGTATGTGAACGCTAGGCAAACGCTTGCCCGGGCAGGGGTAAAATTTTTACCCGGGCAGGGGTTCAATTTTTACCCGGGCAGGGGTTCAAGATTCTTGTGGGGGAGGGGGGAAACATGGGGGTTCTACCAGCAAAGCATTTTGTCTCATAAAAAAGAACCGTGCTTAACATTTAAGCCAGCATCCTCATATGTCATGTAAATCACCTATCCTTAATGCTATTCTCCAACGACAATCTCGTGTTTTTTTGGGGGGGGCAGCCCGAAAAATATCCCAGAGAGCGTTTGCGTTTTTGGATGCGTTTGGCGTTTGCGTTCAAACTCAAGCGTTTGAATGCTAAACGCGTGCTTGCCAGAGCGTTTGTAGCAACTAAGCCCCCCATGCGTACAACCCCCCATGCGTACAACCCCCCATGGTGCAGCACGAAACTATAAGTGGAAGGGGCATCTCACGCCTAGGTAGTGGGCGCTCACCTGTACGTGGTGGGCGACGTCTGGTGCAGCATGCACCTGTACAGCGTACAAATCTACGGTACGAACCTGTAGGTGGGTCCTCCGCACTCCACAGTACTTGACTGTAGGTGGGTCCACACCACAGTGCTGACCTATAAGTGGTGGGCGACGTCTGGTGGAGGAACCACATGGAGGTGAAGGAGATCGCCAGCCCCAGCAGCCCGCTCAGAGTCACCGCCACCCAGAACCCGCCGTTCAGCATCAGGGGCCTGCCATGCGAGGGGAGGTGGGGGAGGTATCAACTCACGAGTGCAGGAGGTATCAACTCACGAGTGCAGGAGGTATCAACTCACGAGTGCAGGAGGTATCAACTCACGAGTGCAGGAGGTATCAACTCACGAGTGCAGGAGGTATCAACTCACGAGTGCAGGAGGTATCAACTCACGAGTGCAGGAGGTATCAACTCACGAGTGCAGGAGGTATCAACTCACGAGTGCAGGAGGTATCAACTCACGAGTGCAGGAGGTATCAACTCACGAGTGCAGGAGGTATCAACTCACGAGTGCAGGAGGTATCAACTCACGAGTGCAGGAGGTATCAACTCACGAGTGCAGGAGGTATCAACTCACGAGTGCAGGAGGTATCAACTCACGAGTGCAGGAGGTATCAACTCACGAGTGCAGGAGGTATCAACTCACGAGTGCAGGAGGTATCAACTCACGAGTGCAGGAGGTATCAACTCACGAGTGCAGGAGGCATGTATTAGACTCACGAGTGCAGGAGGTAGTGATCTCACGAGTGCAGGAGGCTTGTATTAGACTCACGAGTGCAGGAGGCATGTATTAGACTCACGAGTGCAGGAGGTAGTGATCTCACGAGTGCAGGAGGCATGTATTAGACTCACGAGTGCAGGAGGTAGTGATCTCACGAGTGCAGGAGGCATGTATTAGACCACGAGTGCAGGAGGTATTGATCTCACGAGTGCAGGAGGTAGTGATCTCACGAGTGCAGGACGCATGTATTAGACTCACGAGTGCAGGAGGTATTGATATCACGAGTGCAGGAGGTATTGATCTCACGAGTGCAGGAGGTATTGATCTCACGAGTGCAGGAGGTATTGATCTCACGAGTGCAGGAGGTATTGATCTCACGAGTGCAGGAGGTATTGATATCACGAGTGCAGGAGGTATTGATCTCACGAGTGCAGGAGGTATTGATCTCACGAGTGCAGGAGGCATTGAGCTCACGAGTGCAGGAGGTATTGAACTCACGAGTGCAGGAGGTATTGAGCTCACGAGTGCAGGAGGCATTGAGCTCACGAGTGCAGGAGGTATTGAGCTCACGAGCGCAGGAGGGATGCATGTAACTCACGAGTGCAGGAGGTATTTGGTTTCGCTGAATGCGATGATGAGGATGATGGCGGGCGGGAAGGAGAGCGCGTTGTTGAGCAGCACCATCGTGAACTCCGAGAGCTGCCCGCTCTTGGTGGACGCCTTGGCGGTGTCCATCACCTTGCGCAGGGTCAGCTGGAGGGAGGGTGGGGGACGGCGGGAGAGGGCAGAGGGTTAGAGGGGAGGGCAGCACAGGGACAGGAGAGCGCGTTGTTGAGCAGTACCGTTTCGGGCATGGCTGACATTACCGGCATCTCGAATCAACGTTCCTTTCCTTACGAGGCATGGTGGGGAGGGGGCCCATAAAGCACGGTAGCGAGTTGCGCCATACCGAGTACGCGGCGGTGAAGAAGCAGTTGAATATCTGCCACGTGTACCCCACTGGGTGGAACGCCAGGTCCGTGAAGCCGCCGCAGAAGGCCGAGAGGATCTGCATTAGAGAGGGATAAGGTTAGAGGCGGCGGCAGCACAGCATGACGTGGCAATGCAGTAAAGAGTCATGAGAAAGAAAGGCATGGCGTGGGAAGGAGAGAGCGGCGTACCATGAGGAAGAGCGAGCCCCAGACTTTGGTGGAGTGGCGCTTGCGGAAAAGGTACATCTCGCCCACCGCTGTGATGAGGTTGGTCACGTTCTTGAGGATTGTCACCATCGCCACCTGCATGTACTGCAGACTGGGGGGGGGGGTGGGGGGGAGAAGAAAAAAGAGGAAAAAAAGAAAGGGGAACGGGGCTCGGTTGGTTGGAGGTGCACGGTTGACGCTCTTGCGGATGGTCACCATCGCCACCTGCATGTACTGCAGACTGGGGGGGGCAGGCAGGAGGGAGAGAGGAGGGGAAGCGGAGGGAGGGAGGGAAAGGGGAAGGAGGTTGCTGGTCCACTTTCTTGAGGAAATCGCCATTGCCAGAGGGAGAGAGGGGGGGGAGAGGGGGAGGAGAGGGGTGGAAGGGAGTTGAGGGCAGAGGTGTGATGGCTCGCGTTGCTCAGCATTGCGTTGCTCAGCATTGCGTGAGTAATGAGTCGACGTTTGAGTCGAGAAAACGGTCACGAGAGCGAGTAATCGCGTTGCTCAGCATTGCATGAGAAAAACGGCCACGAGAGCAAGGAGGGTCGGGTGAAAGGCAAACGGCACCTGAGATACACGGGGGGCACCTGACAAAAGGAGGTGGCGAGCAGAAGGCACCTGAGGGGAGTAAGGGTCACCTGAAGAAGCACCTGAAGAAGCACCTGAAGAAGCACCTGAAGAAGGAGGTGACGAGCATGCCGACGAAGATGAGGTTGACTGGCAACCACACCGTCATGAGGCGCAGCGTGAGCGGTTCCGTGGCGATGACGCCCATGTGCACCAGCGCCAGCACCACTGTCACGCTCACCAGGTTCTGATGGGGAGGGCAGGGAGGGCAGGGAGGGCAGGGAGGGCGGACACGGAGGGGAGAGAGGGGGGAAGAGGGGTGAGTGAGAGAGGAATGACGCCCGTGTGATTGTGCGCCAGCATAATCCGTGTGTAATGAGTCGACTCAAAAATCGACTCATTACACTGGCTCGGATGGCCATGGGGGGTGGGGGCAAGGAGGGAGGTAAGTACGAAGGTAGTGGGGCAGAGCGCAGGGAGAGCGTGCACAGGGAGAGCGTGCGCAGGGAGAGCGTGCGCAGGGAGAGCGTGCGCAGGGAGAGCGTGCGCAGGGAGAGCTTGCGCAGGGAGAGCGTGCGCAGGGAGAGCGTGCAGAATGCAGAGAGGCAGGGATGGGGAGGGGAGGGAGGGAAGGGGGGGGGGAGAGAAGAGGGAGGGCGTGCCTGGTAGAGCATGAGGGAGATCTGCGCCTCCCACTTGTAGCCCGAGAGCACCACTTTATTCAGAAGGATCATGGAGCACGACGACGCGCAGTAGCACATGCCCGACAGCAGCGCGCTCCCCGCCACCTGGAACCGCCGCGACCGCCGCCCCGCGCCCCCGCTCGACCCGCCCACCGCCCAGTTGTCGTCGCGCTTGCGCTCGGACGCCGAGTCCGCGCGGAAGAAGCTCGCCAGCTTCCCCTCCGACGCGGAGCCGCCCCCGCCGCCCGGGGAAGGCCCCCCAAGGCTCCCCGCGCCTCCGCCTATGCTGCCGCTGTGGTGGTGGTGGCGCTCCTTGGGGCCCGCGCTTCCGCCGACGGAGAGGAGGGGGGAGCGGAGGTCCGCCTGCTGCGCGCCCTCCTCCACGTCAGCCGCCGCTTGGCCCGCGTGCGATCTGCGCGGGGCGAGTGGCGACGAGCGTCAGCAATGCGTGGCATTACTGGCATCAGCGCAAAACGTCTGGAATGGGGGAGAAGACGCGGAGATGCAGAAACTGGCATGTACGAATGCGAGCCGCGGGCAGCGGGAAGCCGGCAGCGGGCAGCGGACAGCGGGAAGCGGGCAGCGGGAAGCGGGCAGCGGGCAGCGGGCAGCGGGGAGCGGGGAGCGGGGAGCGGGGAGAGGGGAGCGGGGAGCGGGCAGCGGGCAGCGGGAAGCGGGCAGCGGGCAGCGGGCAGCGGGCAGCGGGCAGCGGGCAGCGGGCAGCGGGGAGCGGGGATCGGGGAGCGGGGAGAGGGGAGCGGGGAGCGGGGAGCGGGGAGCGGGCAGCGGGCAGCGGGAAGCGGGCAGCGGGCAGCGGGAAGCGGGCAGCGGGCAGCGGGGAGCGGGGAGCGGGGAGCGGGGAGCGGGGAGCGGGGAGCGGGGAGCGGGCAGCGGGCAGCGGGCAGCGGGCAGCGGGCAGCGGGGAGCGGGCAGCGGGCAGCGGGAAGCCGGGCAGCGGGCAGCGGGCAGCGGGCAGTGGGCAGCGGGCAGCGGGCAGCGGGCAGCGGGCAGCGGGCAGCGGGAAGCGGGCAGCGGGCAGCGGGCAGCGGGAAGCGGGCAGCGGGCAGCGGGAAGCGGACCACGATGCCATGGGCGAGGTACGGCTGGTCGGGGGTGGCATGGTGAAAGCTTGTACGCTCGGGAGTCCGTACCTAGGTGTGAGGCTCGGCATATTGTGGCTTTTGCTCCCCATGCTGCTGTGGGACGAACTGCTGTGCGACGAGCTGCTGTGCGACGGCTACACGACAGGGTGGAGTTAGGAGCTTCGACCTCGGGCCGTGACACACTAGCTATCTATGCGATTCTCTACGCGACGCTCTATGGAGTTCCATTCTGCAGCATGGCCAGCAACCAGGGGGTTTTATAAAGCGCACGGAAAATCGAGTGGCCTTAGTCGTGACCGGCAAGGAAACGGCGAAAAGGTTAGACTCTGTATCGTCATAGCGTTTTCATCAATACACCTAATCTTGCTCCGATTCCCGCGGCGGGATCTGTCCGGCAGGGTGCTGGCTGTCCGTCCCGGGACGACAGCAGAAAACTCCTCAAGAGCCGGTGTGAGCGGGATGTGAAGGCCTGCCTAGTCGACCAGCGGGCCTAATAAATATATAGCGACCAAGTAACGGCGGTTTCGTTGCCGGTGCGCGGCTTTAGTCGCCGTCTACTTGAAGTCTCTGAGGTGCAGCTGTGAATTGTGATGTCTGAAATGCTGGGATTCTGTGGTGTCACCATGGGATATTGTGTTGCTGCTGAGAGGTGGAGGTAGGTGGGTTGGTCAGTTTCTCAACGAACGATGGCGAAGAGCTGGAGCCCAGCTGACAGGGCAAGAATGTACTGGTAACCGGTTTCGTAAGTGGCGTTACTTGGTGATTGATCCGCATTATAATACACATTCAGAAACAACTCAGCCCAGTGTATTCGCTTTGGAAACACCATTATTTGCATAATAACCCCCTCAGGAGCATTCGGCAGCTTCCAACCCTCCCAATTAGCGAACACTCACTCCAGCGTTCCCACGCTCTCGTTACAAGCCCGGAACTGCCATCCAGCCTCCGTTCCTCACTTTCCCCGCCAAACCCTCGTTTCTCCCCGCGGCACTCAGCCCAACCCGCCCTCGGAACAAGAACACCCTGCTCTCGCGCCTTTCCGCCTTCGCTCCTCCGCGGTCCTCCCCGCGCTCTCCCTGATTTCCGCGCTGAACGTGGCAAACTGCCAGTGGCAACCGCGTGCTGCTCTCCGCGCGCCTTGCGCGACCCACTCCCCGTTCGCTTTTGGCTGTTCAAATCGTCAAACCCTCAAGAAACGCCACCCTGCCATTCTACCCACGCCTGTTTTTGCTCTTCCTATGACCCGTGCTCCATGGCTCCCATGTAATCACCTCCTACCCCTGCCTCACCACAACACTCGAACTTCCCTCGCGTCGGCACCAATTTCGAACAATCTCCGTTTGAATTTTACGGAGCGCTAATTTCGACTCGGTTTTCCTGTCGTGTTCTCTGGACTGCCTTGGCTACTGTTTCGAGCTGCTCGTCCCTCTCGACCCTCCCAGCCGCGAAGGACAGTTCGCTCGCATCGTTTTCGTTTCTCTACTCTAGTCTTTTCTCTGTGCTCTACTCTTTAGTCTTCAGCTCGCGCATGTCCCATCACCTGCCGCTGCTCCCCGGCATGGCGGACGAAGCGGCGCTGGGCGTGGCGGGGGGCTTCGACGACGCGCTGCTGGCGTCGGCGGCGGACCGCCAGACGCACTGGGGCTTCCACGAGACCAAGGAGCTGATCGCGCTGCGCGCCGAGCTGGAGCGCGACTTCGTGCCGGCGCGCACGAGCAACCACGTGTGGGAGACGATATCGGCGCGCATGAAGGAGAAAGGGTACCGCCGCTCGCCCAACCAGTGCAAGTGCAAGTGGAAAGTGCTCGTCAACCGCTACAAGGTACCGGCAACGCCGCCACGAAATGCGTCCCGTTTCTCCGTTTTTATCGGTCGTTGCCGTCCATTGTTTCGCCGGGCGAGCTTTTAAGGCGCCTCAAAAGTCGTTGCCGTCCATTGCTTCGCCGGGCGAGCGCTGCTATTGGCCGGCTTCGCTGCATCTCCCTCCCTCCCTCGTTCCACTTCCGTCGCCCCTGCCTTCTCATTCCCCTCCGCGTTCCGCCTTCGTTCCGACGCCTCCCGCGCGCGCCCCCCTCAGAACAAGGAGCTCTCCCCCGACGGCGCGCGCTCGTGCCCGTTCTTCGAGGAGCTGGACGCGATCTTCAAGCAGCGCGCGCGCAACATGGACCGCCTGCTCGTGCAGGCGGAGGGCGGCGGCACGCCCGCCGGAATCGGCGCAACTGGCGGGGGCTACTCGGGGGGGGGCGGCGGCGGCGGAGCCCTGGGCATGCGCGGTGGAGGGTACGGGGGCGGGCCTGGCGCGCGGGGGGGCGGAGGAGGTGGGGGAGGGGGGCTGCTAAGCAGGCGGGCACGCGACGAGGAGGAGGAGGATGAGGAGGAGGAGGATGAGGAGGGCGACGACGACATTGAGGGCGAGCTCAACGTGCGCAGCACCAAGCGCCGCAAGCGCGACTTCAACTCCGGCGCCCGCCGCGCCGCCACCGGCTCCTTCGCCCCCGGCGCCGCCGCCGCCCTGCGCAGGGGCAGCGCTGCTTCCGCCGCCACCGGGGGGAGCGACGCGTTTGAAGGCCTGGGTGGGGGCGGCGGGGGTGCTTATAACGGGGGGCTTGGCGGGGGGGCGGACAAGCGCGTGCTGATGGAGAAGCAGCGCGCGGGCAGCATGCAGGAGGTTCTGGAGCAGTTCTTCCTGCAGCAGTTGCGCCTCGAGCAGGAGTGGCGCGAAGCCATCGAGCGCAGGGAGGCGGAGCGGCGCGTGAGGGAGGGCGAGTGGCGCAGCCGGCTGGAGGCGCTGGAGCGAGACCGGGCGCAGAGGGAATCCATGTGGCGCCAGGTGAGGTGCCCAGTCCCCCTTGAGTCAATGGGGCGGCAGGTGGGTCAATGGGGCGGCAGGTGGGTCAAACGGGCGGCAGGTGGGTCAAACGGGCGGCAGGTGGGTCAAACGGGCGGCAGGTGGGTCAATGGGGCGGCAGATGGGTGCATATGGCGGCAGGTGAGGCGTGCTGGATTGCCCGTCAAAAGCGCACCCTGATCTACTCCTCTCACCGCACTGCTTCTGCATGGCCACTGTCGCTCGTTTCCGTGCCTCTCTCCTGTGGTCTCTCTCCCCCTCACGGCCTCCCTGTGTCTGTCGTTCCACCTCCCCCCATGCATGTGTGTCTGCGTGTGGGTGGGTGGGTGGGTGGGCGGGTGTGTGCGCGTGCGTGTGAGGTGCAGATGGAGGCGGAGCGGGCGGCGAGGGAGGATGAGCGGGCGGCCAGGAGGGATCAGCTGATCATCGCCCTCATCACCAAGCTGTCCGCGCCGCCTGCTCCACCCACCCCTCCTCCTGCTGCCCCCGCACCTGCTCCCCCTGTGCTGCCTGCAACCGACCCGGCTGCTGCTGCACCAGCAGCAGGAGCAGCAGCAGGAGCAGCGCCTGCGACAGTGCACAAGCTTGGTGCTGCTGTGGGTGGGACCATCGCTGCTGCGGAGGCTGCTGCTGCTGATGTCATCGCCTCTGCCGTCCCTGGTGCTGCTGCTGGCGAGGAGGGAGGAAAGGCGGGGGACAAGGACACTACCGCCCCTGATGCTGCTGCTGCTGCTGCTGCTGGTGGTGCGGGGGAAGGGGAGGTTGGGGAGAAGGATGGAGGTGGTGCGAGGGAGGTGCCAGCTGATGGGGATGTCACCATGGCAGCGGGGCAGGAGGAGCTGCCTGCTGCCGAGCCTGTTGCCGTGTAGCTTGATTGGATGCAGTGTAGCTTACCAGTAACCAGATGAGATGAGGTGCTCACTTAACAGGGGAGGCTGGGCTGGGCTTTCAGAGGATGAGGTGCCTGCTAACCAGGGAATCAAATTATGTAGGTGCTTTTCTTGTGTTTTGCTCCTCTTCTCTTTCCTTTTCCTATTTTAGGATTTCGTGTCTAACAGCAGCTGCTGCATTCGACCTGCAAGAGGGGGAGGGCTTCCTGACGTAGAAATTAAGACTACTGAAACAATGATACAGTAGTAGTGAGGCGGATGTGACCAGCGCTACAGCAGGAGTGCACGCACACAGCCCCTCAGACGAGCTCCTCCTCCTTCACAGCGCCCTTGAGCCCCTTGACCTCCGTCACCTTCTCCTCTATCTCGCGCCGCAACTCGTCCCTCCACAGCTCCTCGCGCGCCCCCTCCTCCTCCTCCTCCACCTGGTCAAGGGGGGGGTAGTAGAGGAAAGAAGTGTGAGGAGAGGAGTGGCACGGAGGCTCCGTAGATGCGAACGGTGGATGGGGAGGATGGCAGGATGGGGTGGTTTTCTTGTGAAGAAATGCTTAGCAGCACGCCTCTTCCATCATAGGACAGGACTGGTGCCACTCTCAGCGGTCGGTCGCTCGCTCAGCTGGCAGCATAGTTGTGCATGCGCAAGAGAACATGGCCCCACGCATCATCGAAGCGTCCCACAGCTTTACCACATACCACATGCTAGCATGCCAACGGATGTTGTCGCGGGTGCGCACTGCATGCCTGGACTCGGAGCCTCATACCCATAGGCACATCCCCACATACCCGTTGGTGGATCCCCTGTGGATGCATCCCCACATACCCGTTGGTAGATCCAGAACTGGGTGCCGTTGCCACCAGCATTGCGGTACTCGTCGCTCTCGTAGTACTCGTCCTGTGGGGAACAGGGGGGGTGGGGACGGGGGCAAAAAAGACAACATCAGGGGAGATGGGTGGGGGGCGAAGGGGAAAGAAGTGGCTACCGCAATGAGGCGATATGAGTGAAGTTGTTGCCAGCACTGCGGTACCCATCGCTCTCGTGGTGGGGGGACGAGAGGGATGGAGGGGGGTGGGAGGGGAGGCAACGAGCGAGGATGGGGAGGGAGGGAGGGAAGTGGGGAAGGCAGGCGGCTCATGAAACGGGGGGGGGCGGGAGAGGAGGTAAGGGGGAGCGAGGAGGGGCAGGGTGGAGGGAGGGAAGTAGGTTGGCAGGTACTAGGGGAGGGAGGGAGGGAGGTAGGTAGGTAGGCAGGAACTAAGGGAGGGAGGAAGGTAGGTCGTCAGGTACTAGGGGAGGTGGGGAGGTGGGGAGGTAGAGCGTACGTTCATGGAGCCGAAGACGAGCGCGCCCCAGCAGAAGACGCACGTGAAGATCATGTCTGGCCATGGAGAGGGGGGGGGGAGGAGGACGGAACGGGAGGATAAAAAGGGACATTCAGACGCCTCGGAGGGAGGAGAGGAGGTAGAGGGAATGGAGACGGGGAAGGGGGGAGTGGGGTGCGTGCAAGCGGCGGGGCTGGATGTAATCAAGTGGCTGTGCATGACTGCATGTGACATGGCTGGGCTGTCGCGGTGTCGGATATCCATATTTGGATGGACAGACCTAAGGGTTCGAGTACACCAAGCGGGTTGGTTATGCGCCGTGGATATACTGGCGGGCGGCATGCGATGATTGGATCCCACCAGAGAGCATAGCGGATCTCCAAGGCTCAAAAGGACTTGACGCGTAACAGCCTTCAGCCTGACAAAAGCGCAGCGAGTAATCTGGGCTTGCAGAGGAGGCCTCGAAGGCAGACGAACGGCAATCAATCCGTAAATCCTACACGATGCAATAAACTGGCGCTGTATCTGACACAAGGCCTTGAATGCTCTGTCTTACAGAAGGCCTCGAATTCTATCCCTTAAAGACGGCCTTGAATTCTCTCCCTTACAGAAGGCCTTGAAGGCGGGCTCGGTGATGTGGAAATCGGAGAGCGCCGTGACGGTGTCCATGGCGCCCGGCAGCTCCGCCTCCACGAACGCCAGCAGCAGCGGCACCGCCGCCACCGGCGCCGATAGCAGGCGGAACGCCGCGGACGCGGAAGGACGCGCGGGAGAGGCGTCGCCGGACTTGGGGGAACGTGCCTGCGGGGAACGAGGCGAAACGGGGAGAAGGGAGAGAGACGCACGCAAGAGAGGTGGGGGGAGGGAAAGGAATGCGGGGGTGGAGGGTGGAGGGTGGAGGGTGGAGGGTGGAGGGTGGAGGGTGGAGGGTGGAGGGTGGAGGGTGGAGGGTGGAGGGTGGAGGGTGGAGGGTGGAGGGTGGAGGGTGGAGGGTGGAGGGTGGAGGGTGGAGGGTGGGGGTGATATACAAAACAAGAGCCACACATTGCAAAATCCTGACATTGCAAAATCCCGACACTGCAGGATTCCAAAGGGTTGTCCGTGTCTGAAAGTGGGGTAGCGCGAGCTGCGCTGTCGGAATCCTAACGGCTGCCGGTTTTCCTCACGTCGTCGGAAAGTGGGACGGCAAGACGGCAACAGCAACGGGTAGTACAGTAGCGCATGGGGAAGAGAGCGACACAGCGAATAAGATCGTAGCGCATTCTGATAACACCGTTGCAGCGAAGGGTAAGATCACAGCAGTTACGGATATGGCCGTTGCAGCGAAGGGTGAACCAGCAGCAGCTGTGAACCCTGGCTTGGATTGGCTAGGCTTAGGCACTTTCTGCTGTCCGGCGACTGGAATGCCGACCTCGCCAAACTGATAGCTGCCAGAAAGATCAGCCCTAGGAGAAAAGGTCTCACCTTTTCTATACGGGGGGAGTTACACGCATGCAGCAAGGGCTGTAGCTACACGGCTGGACAGCGACTGCTGCATCCGCAAAGGTGACGTTGGCTCCTATCTTAGACCTTCCATTTCTAGGTTGTTACATAACGGTCGCCATTCTATTTACCCGATCTGTACGGCGAATGGAGGACCTACCGCGCACACAGCAGCCATGCGTTGGCTTTTGATTGGCCGGAAGGCGACGGTAGCTGACGGAAGCCGCTGGCCAGTTGGGACAGCGGAAACAGTCAATGCGACTGTTGACGGCAAGGACGCGACGGCCTGGATGCACGCCATTTTTTCTTGCTACAGGCGCAACGTGCACGGAGGTGGCGCCTTAGCAACGGATCGGCTAGACGGACAACAAGCGAGAATTATTGAAGATAGCTTGGAAGTGCTTATGGCGCAAGGCAAGGAAAAGGGGGAGGAGGAGAGACGGGGAGGATGGAGGAGGACGGGTTGACGGAAAGGTGCATGTGTGGCCCAGTGGGTGACTGCTGACGCTGACGTGGCTGACGACTCTTTGCTAGCTGTGGTATTGAGGTCCTCGATTTCCCCGGCGCCCCAGACAGCTGTGTTGGTACACTCCGCCGGCAAAATGCAATCGAGCTGGTTAAAAGCGTGCCCATGTACGATGCAAGTATTTTCAAGAAATAGTTTACATGTGAAGAATTGCATGCTTACGGTTCCATAGCACCTACATCCATTTATTTCTGATATATATCAAATCGTCGTCACGTTCTTTAATCTGATTAACAACAGCTATGACAAAGATTGATTAGGAAGGGATGTTGAGTCGATATGGCTTGACCTCACACGCATCCTCAGCCCCTTCCTTCCATTGACTGACACACATCACTTTACACTGGCCATTTGTTAGCTAGTGGTAAGCGTCTTTTGTGCACAACAAAGGGTTAATCAGCACAAGTGTCACCTGTCAACATTCAAGAAGATGTCAACTGACTCCATCTGCAGATGCTCCGGTTGCTGTTCATAGTAGTTGTTGCCTTGCTGATATGACGGAACATCCAGAAGTGGATTTTGGTGATGTTGCTGGTACTGCTGCTGCACTTGAGGTTGTGACTGCTGCTGCTGCTGCTGCTGCTGCTGCTGCTGCTGCTCCTGCTCCTGTGGTGGCAGTGATTGCTGCAGCAGTGGCTGTGATGGCTGCTGCTGCTGCTGCTGCTGCTGCGGCTGGAGGTTGTGATACTTATGGTTCTGCTGACACTGCTGGTTAGATAATGGCTGGTGCTGGTTTTGGTGCTGGAGCTGCTGCTGCTCCGGCTGGTACAGGTCTTGCTGACTCTGCTGTTGGTACTGATTTTGTTGGTACTCCTGCTGGTACGGATTCTGTCGATAGTGTTGTTGGTACTGATTATGCTGATGCAGCTGCTGTTGTTGCTGCTGCTGCTGCTGCTGGGAGGGCTGTGTCTGATGCTGCTGTTGGTGTTGCTGTCCTTGATGCTGCTGGAATTGCTGTTGCTGCTGCTGCTGCTGCTGCTGCTGCTGCTGCTGTGACTGGTATTGCACGGGAGTTTGCATGCGAGGAGTCTGGGACTGGGCCTGCTGCTGATACATTTGCTGGCATTGTGAGAGGCTAGCAGGGCTCTGGTACGAGGGGTTGGTTGAAAGGGCCACCTTACACGGAGCCTCAGATATGGAGTGGCTCCGCATCATCCCTCCAGCACGGGCATAACGAGGCTCAGGGACCGAGCTGCATCTCGTGAGAAAGGCAGGACGACTGGAAGAGCTACCCGCCACAGGAGTTGAAGCAGGATGACTTGAAGAGTTCGTTGTCGTAGGAGTTGCAGCATAGCTCAGATGCTGCCCCGCGTATGGCTTGTCTGAATAGGATGAAGCAAGTTGCAATGATGCCGATCTCTGGTGGGATGATTCACGCGAAACAAAGCCCAGGAAACGCATTAGTCAAGATGTTGCAAAACGTGGCAGGGAACTTGTGGAAGTCTTGTTGAAGCTTGTAAGTTACCTGCAACATGCTTGGCAGACGAAGAAGTGGAACTCTTGAACAGCTTCCAGAGGTGTCATCATCTCCATCCTTCTCCCAGATAGCGGCCCTTGGGGTATGCTGAATCTGATAGTGTCCTGGCTGGAGCTGCCCGCCTGCTGTCCCGTGGTTACCAGACGGCGTAGGTCCGCTGTTCAGACCCACGATGCTTGAGCTGACACCTAGGGATCTGGATGCGGGTGGAGTCCCAGTCGTGGTATTTTCATGTTGCAGCGGCTGCCCAGGCTGGAAAGAGGAGGTGAAGCGAGGACCGAGGTTGGCACTGAGCTGATACTGCTGAACACGACTGGGAGTGCTGCAGCTGATGCTTTGATTCAACCTTCCAGACTGAGGCACAGGCTGCTGCTCTTGAGGTGGGTATTGCATCGTGTGCTGCTCTTGCTGCTGCTGCTGCTGTACTGCTTGCGACTGGAAGGTTGATGTAGCCGTCTGCCATGTTGGTGTTGCGGTGGCTCCCCTGAACGAATAGGGCAGTGAATTGGTTAGCCGCGAAACAAAAATTTCATACTATACTGTAAAATAGAATGCGTCAATGACTTACGAGTTGAGTCCTGATGGCTCCACTTGTGCTGCGCCCATTGGATGAACTGGGGGAGGTAACGTCAGCGGAGGTGGAGCAGAACTTTCTCCTCCTGGCGCGCTTGATTCGCATCTCGAGTCATGCTTGCGCCCCGAGATAGAGAGGACTGCATGGTCATCGTTTTGCATCGTTCGCATGTTGACACTCTCGGCAATGCGGCTTGTCACAGCGTTGTTTCCGCCTGCTGCTTCTGACGCCAACCCATCTGACGACGCAGCAGCAATGGAAGCAGTGGAGCCTGCAGTGCAGTTTTCATTGGTCTTCCGCGATCGATTTCTTCCTCTATGCATGTGCCTGTCACAATACTTCTGATCCTTGACAGCCTGCAGAGAAGAATTCAGCAGATGAACGGAAATTAGCAACGATGCCAAACTGACGGCCATGTCGTCGGGCTAAAATTGCAATCGGCGAAGATAGATACCTCTCGAGAACATCGCCATTTCTTCCCATCTGTACGGCGGCATCTGTCAGGCTCCAAGTCAAGCCTCATCGGGTGCATCCACTCGCCTGCCAAGTATAGACATGACGCATGCATGAGCTTACGGGAAAAGTGACAACACCATTTTCAAGTCAACAATAGAGAAGTACGTAATTTGTACCTCGCTCGCTTTCCCGAGGACCTTTAGTAGTATCCGGGGTTGAATAAAGAGACGAGACGATATCTTGTGGAGGCGAAACACCAGATACGAGATACTTGAAGATCAGAGCTTGCTTCTCCAGTTGTTGCCACTGGCTTATTGTGAAAGGGCCTGCGTTAGGATCTGCATGTTGCGACACAAAAAATGTCAGACCACTGAAGAAGAAACGAGCATGATATCGGGGACCTATTGTAGCGCAGCCACATAAAAAGGCGGTAGGAATTCTACCTGCAGACGAGGCGGGGTCTGATGAAACAGCTTGACTATCAGGGCTAATGTTTGTCAGCGGCGGGATCGACGAGAACACGGGGGTCGCGAGCGCCTGAGGTGAAACCGGAACCCCCATCATGTGTGGAGAGCGGACTTCCGCGATGGGTGAAAGCGCGGGAAGCTTTCGCACAGGCGAGCATCGGAACGAGCTGGAGGTTCCCGGCGTCCTGGGAGTTGAAGACGGGGAATAGTCTGGAGAGAATGGAGAATCGATAGGCTTCGGCGTTGTCTGTGACTGGTTCAGGGTAGAGGTGGGAGCGGATTGCAAATGGATGTTCAGAGAGCCATCAGCTTGCTGACTGTGCGGTTGACACGCCATCAGTTGCGGGGAATTTTGCAGCTGGGAATCAAGCACTGGTTTCAGCTCCGGCATCGGCTTGCTTTCAGCGCTGCAGGTAAGTGCTGAGCTGGAAATGTTCTCCTTCGAAGTTGCAGGGACGTCACTGGAGACTAACACTGGTAGGGATTTAGGTCGAGAAGGGGATTGACATGAAATGTTCACAGCTTGGAGATCGGGCCTCTGGTCCATCTGTTGAACAGGCGTCATTGTTATCCCGGTTAGAGGTGATGGCTGCTGAACGAGTAGACTCATTAATTCCAGCTCTAGCTCAACCTTGCACCTCTCTGAGGTTTGGGTTTCTGGCGCCTGAACCTTGCGTATAAACGCGACGATTCTTGCTGGTTTCGCCTAAAAATGCCCCTGAATCTCCCAGGACAGGAATTCAGCAAGCAAGCACGTGAAATATCGTCAGCTGAAACCTTCCACAAATTCACTGGGACTCCCTGATGTCTTTGCGTACGTGCTTGCTAATTTATCTGCCTGGTGGCTGGACTCGTGGCGATTGTGCTTCTGGCCCAAAATCTGTTTGGTTGGTTTGGTCCGAACCAAAAGGCTCTTTTCCATGACACTCAGGCTCGGAAGGGACACACGATGTTCACGGCCCCCATTTGCACCAAATATGGATGACTCGTAGCCCCCAGGCCTATCTATCGCACGCAAGTCGCATGGTCCGGTTTGAATTTGGTGAGACCAGCCAATCATCGTTCACTAGATGCTGGGAGAGAACAGTCACCAGGTCGGTTTGACAAATTGCTGGCGAGCACTTCTGGAGCTTGTCAGGCCAGGTTATGTCCGAGCGAACCATGCCCCTAGAAATAGCTGACCACCTTTTGTTCGGCCCCGAGATGCGGATGCCTAATTTTCAGCCTTGATGGTCGCGGAAGATGTGGTTGGTGGTTCTGGGAAAAAGATCGAGGGCCCCTGCACTGTTGGAGCTGAGCAGCTGCCAAGAGGCGGATCAGGAGTGGCTGGAGGCCTGCCCCCTCAGTTACCCATATCCAATCAAAGCAGCGCTTTGTACCACGCAGCAACGTCGACATGTTTGAGAGCGCGTCAACTCTCCCGCCTCTTTTTCTTGACGGAAAAAGTGAACGTCTCCGTCCCAATAGTGGGGCGCTTTTCCTGACAAGCGAATTCGAGCCACGAATTGCAGCAAAGCGCACCATTGCAGACAAGCCAATGATTGATCGTACTTCGTTGTCTGAACAGGTGAACGTTTCCTGGTGTCAGGCGAACAGGTGCCAGCATAGTGGTTGAGCCAGCTGACGGGCTTCGGTGGACTCTGATATGTCACGCAATCACTGGGAAGACCGTTTCAAGGTCAGGCTCCGCAACCCAAGTGATAGGTTCGGGTCGCTTCCCATATTTAAGAAAGCTACACCATGAACTAAAAAGCCCTCATATAGTTCCCTATGTAGTTTAACCAACCCTTACGCATTCAGCTACAATGGGTATGCCCTCTGCAGCGCATCGACATCATGGGCATCACAAGCTGGGAGTAGCTCCGAATTTCCAGCACAGCTTAAAGCGATTCTCAGGTACTGCCACGCATTCTCCGCCGTGGGGTTCATGGCAATCGCGCGCACATAGTAGCGCGCCGACTCCTCATACTTGCCTTGGTTGGCATATCCAATGCCCATGTTCGTCCACGCTCGCACATAGTTCGGCTTCAAGTCCAAAGCCTGGGCAATAGGCAGTCCAAGACAGGGCAGAAGGCACAGGCGAGGAATATTCAGCACAATTGCATGTTGAAATGCAATGCAACCTGTTTGCATTAGCCTGCAAGTGGTACATGGGGTAGCGTAACGTGTAGACTGCATGCATGCACACCTTCTGGTACGCCTCAATGGCCTCAGCTGACTGTGCGCTGTTGGCCTGCGTGGCGCCGAGCTTGTTCCAGAGGGAGTAGTCGGCGGGGCGCAGCGTGAGCGCCCTGCGGAAGGCAGCCTTGGCGCGGTCGTACTCATGGGACAGGTTGAACAGCACGCCCAGCACCACCTGGGGGAGGGAGAGGGGCGGCAGGCGGGGGAGAGGCGGGGGGGGTTGAGTTGCCTCGGCAAGAGCACGTGAGGGACTTCCTTGGCATGGTCGTACCCGTGGGAGAGGTTGAAGAGCACTCCCAGCACCACCTGGCGGAGGGAGAGCATGAAGGGAGAAGGGTGAGGCTCTTGTCTCAAGGAAACTCCAAACAAGGCAAGAGAATGTGGAAAAGCATGGCATGGTGTATTCATGGATTGGCAAGGCATGGCATGGCATGGCATGACATGGCATGGCAGGGCATGGCAATGCACCAACCTGCAGATCTGCATCCTCTGGTGCCATGCGGGCTGCCTCTGCGTAGAACTGCACCACCTGCGAGCGACCACAGTACAGGCGAGGGAGGGGAGGGAGAGAGGAGGGGGAGGAGAGGCAGCCGGACGGAAGGGGGCAAAGTAAGAGTTGATGTTGGAAGGATGTTGGAAGGATGTTGGAAGGATGTTGGAAGGATGTTGGAAGGATGTTGGAAGGATGTTGGAAGGATGTTGGAAGCATGTTGAAAGGATGTTGGAAGGATGTTGGAAGGATGTTGGAAGGATGTTGCAAGGATGTTGGAAGGATGTTGGAAGGATGTTGGAAGGATGTTGGAAGGATGTTGGAAGGATGTTGGAAGGATGTTGGAAGGATGTTGGAAGGATGTTGGAAGGATGTTGGAAGGATGTTGGAAGGATGTTGGAAGGATGTTGGAAGGGGGCACGTGGGGATGGAGAGCAGATGTGCACCGTTGAAGGAATGGCACCCCAAGGGAGTGAAACAAGAAGGCGCAAAGAGAGGTTGGTGGGTTGGGGCGCAGCCTCACACCACAGCTAGCAGCTCACATCGGAGTGTGACATGGAGGCAGGCCCCGCGGGCGGCACGAGCGTCTTGTACTTGGGGTGGTTCTGCAGCCAGCTGCGCAGGTGGTACAGTGCCTCTGCCTGCTCCAGCTCTGACATGTGGAAGGGGGAGGGGAGGGGGATAGGGGAGGGGGAGGGGAGGGGGATAGGGGAGGGGGAGGGAAGGATCGGGGGATGGCAAGGGCTCATGAGGTCCTGCAGCCAGCCGCCCAGATGGTACAGTGCCTCTGCCTGCTCCGGCTCTGGGATGTGGAGGGGGGGGAAGCAGGCAAGAGGGAGAGAGGGCAGGCGAGAGGGAGGGAGGGAGCAGACGGGCGCAAGGCGGAGGAGAAGGAGAATACTGAGGTGAGCAGTGCGTGAAGGATGTCAAGAACCATGCGGCCTCATGAACGATTTAAAAAAGCCAAGTACTTACCAGTGTCTCACTGCTCATGTGGCTGGGGAAAAGGCAAGAATGGCCCTTAATGAGTGGCCGACTCACCGTTGGTGTGGCCGACTCACCGTTGGTGTGGCCGACTCTCCGTTGATGTGGCCAACTCACCGTTGGTGTGGCCGACTCACCGTTGGTGTGGCCGACTCTCCGTTGGTGTGGCCGACTCTCCGTTGGTGTGGCCGATTCACCGTTGGTGTGGCCGACTCACCGTTGGTGTGGCCGACTCACCGTTGGTGTGGCCGACTCTCCGTTGGTGTGGCCGACTC